AGCACCTTGCCATGAATCACCCTCAACCTCGGGTCCTCAAATTGTTTGCTTGAATCCCCTAAACCAAAGAAGATCTATACACTACACAAGCAAGTACCCCACCATGCTTAGAAATATCAAGTCTAACAATTTTATTGGGTAAGGAATGATTATTCGAAGTCGTAGGTTGCCCATCCATAGCTAAGAAAGATAAACTCCCAATACTCACTGCATTCCGGCACAAGATATCTGCTACCACATTAGCATTTCTTGAGTTATAAATGATTCAAGATCTATACACTACACAAGCAAGTACCCCACCATGCTTAGAAATATCAAGTCTAACAATTTTATTGGGTAAGGAATGATTATTCGAAGTCGTAGGTTGCCCATCCATAGCTAAGAAAGATAAACTCCCAATACTCACTGCATTCCGGCACAAGATATCTGCTACCACATTAGCATTTCTTGAGTTATAAATGATTCAAATGTCATAATCATTAAGTAACTCCAACTACCAACACTTTTTTAGATTGTTGTCCTCAAGTTGAAGTTGTACTGAAGGCTATAGTGATTGGTGAATACTTCTCAGTGAACTCTATACAAGTAGTACCTCCAAGTCTTTAATGTGAAAACTATTGTGTATAACTCTAAGTCATGAGTGGGGCATTTCTTCTTGTGAAGCTTCAGCTTCCTAGAAGAATAGGCAATAACTCTACCCTTTTGCATCAACACACAATCCAGGCCAACATCAGAAGTAAAACAGTAAACCGTAATTGCATGGCCCTCAATAGAAAGAGTTAGATTTAGTGTTGAAGTAAACAAGGCCTTGAGCTTCAAAAATCTTGTCTCGCACTTATTAGACAACTAGAAGGGCCGTTCTTCTAAGTCAATCTAGTCAAATGTGTCGTAATAAAAAAATACCTCAATGAATTGTTTGTAATAGCTTTCTAACCTGATGAAACTATGAACCTCGATAGGAGAAGTAGGCCAAGCCCAACCACAAACAACATCTACCTTCATTGGATCTACCATAATCCCATCCTTGGAGACTACGTGCCCCATGAATGCTACAGATTCAAGCAAAAACTCATACTTCTGAATTTGGCATACGATTTTTGATCTCCCACAGGACTACAATCCGCATATGTTGCTCCCTACCCCTAGAGTAGACCATATTATCATTGATAAACACTATCATGAAACAGTCCAAATAGGGCCTAAACACATGGTTCATCAACTATATGAATGTTGTTGGGGCTTTCATCAACCCGAAAGACATGACTAAGAATTCATACATTCCATACCTTGTCCTAAAGGAAATATTAGGTATTTCCACCACCCTATTCCTTAACTTGTTGTAGGTTGATCCCTAGTCTATCTTTGAGAACATTGTTTCGCCTTGAAGCTGGCAAAAAAAGTGATCAATTTGTTGCATATGACACCTGGTTATGTGAGAACTTTTGATTTTGAATGTTTGATATAAACATAAATCATCTTAATTTATCTTTGTTTTGGTAGGGGGCATGTGGTAGTAGTATGAATACATGTTGTTTCTTTTTTTCTGCACTTCTAATCTGTGACTTAACAGATGTGAGGAAACACTCTGTTTGAAGTTATGAATGCAGAGTAGTTACAGAATTTGGTAACTTACGGTTTTCACCAGAAATAATCTGTGTTAAGTTTCATCTCTTCTCAAATGATGCTTTAGATATCTTCCATGAATATAAACACAACAATAATGTGGAGGAATATTTGCAATTTAAGTATGGGAAACTCTGATATCAAATTCAAGGTGTGTATCTGAGCACTTACTCGAGATTGTGCAATCTTCTTTGTATTTCTTGACCTATCTCGAGATTCATATGCAGTTGAGAGATGACAATTATGAGAAGAAAAAGTCTAGCTTCCACTTGTTTCTGTTTTCTCTGTTGCATTTAGAGGTTACGACCTCTATCTAGACATTAGGAACTCTTTGTCATGTAAGCAAGCAACCTATTCTATTGAAAAAGCAATAAGTCAGCTAAACATTCTGTTTTGGCGTTGTTAAGTATTTGAGCATCTGTTCTTCTTATTGTACTACCACCCCTATATAGTTATTTCAAATGCACGTTTCTATCATTTTTAATGGCCAGTGTCTTTGACAGGCCTTGAAAATTGTGTTACATGTCTTGTACCTGCTAAGTGTAATGCATCTGTTCAATTTTCTTTCCTTTTTTCATTCAATTTTTGGGTTACTTCAAATTTCCTATCTCCTAAGCTGTAAAATCATCTAATTATGTATTTATTCAGAACAGCACCTTTTAGGCAAGGCCCTCATTCACATTCACTGAGACCATGCCGTGTCATGAGTGAGGATTCTGAAGGAACTTTGAGCGGTGAAAACATCTTGCTAAATGAGGAAAGCTTGGCACAGGATCTAAAGACTGCTATTAAAGAGGAGAACTATGCCCGAGCAGCAAAGATTAGGGATAGCCTCCGGCTACTCCAGGAGGATAGTAAGGCCTCTGTACTAGCAGCAAATGCCCGCTTTTACAACTCTTTCAGACATGGAAACTTAGCTGCAATGCAAACCCTTTGGTCAAAAGGTGAGAATGTTTGTGTCGTGCACCCTGGTGTTAGCGGCATAACTGGGTATGATCTTGTAATGGGAAGCTGGGAGTTTGTCTGGGCAGAATACGATTTCCCACTTGATATCGAGATCAGGGATGTTCAAGTCCATGTTAGAGGTGATATCGGGTACGTTACATGCATTGAGATGGTCAAAACTAAAGGCAGCAGCTGGGGAAAACAATTTGCTACCAATGTTTTCGAGAAGGTTGATGGACAATGGTGTATGTGTATTCATCATGCATCGTATATCGACTTGTAAAATGTGAAAAATAAAGTTCCTTTAGAGGTTGTGGAGAGTATGTTAGGCGCAGAAGTTTTGTAGCTTTTCTTCTACTATATAGTTGTTGTTAGTTGTTACCTATTTACTAATAATGAACTACAATACTTTATGTTGTATCTCAAAATTTGAGCAGTGTATGAAGTTTCGATTAATGGACTCTTTTACATTTTTCACTTGATGAACGTCTTGAAAATGTAACATATTCTATGATTATAATCCTGAGATTATAGTCAAGTCAAAATAGATAATTACATTGCATTCAACACAAATCATGTGCATTCTCATATGACATGCATAGATCTATCAAAGATGTTTATAGTAAAAAAAAAAAAAAAAAAAAAAGATCGTTTTATTTTAAACCACAATTTTCAATATTTTTTCTCTTTTTTAAATTTGTAGTCAATTACACACTGCTTATATAAATAGGCATGATGATTTTCATTTTCAAATTTCAATTGGATGAAGAAAGAGAAGTGATTGTGATGTCACGCGGTAATACGGTATCTACAAAAGGCTAAGGTATAATAAGTTTCCTTTTTCACGTTTTTTTCCATTAATTTGTATCTAAGAATAAAGGGTGGTCCATGCATATAAATTAAATCAGTGAGAAACCTCCAATAATTATGCGAATATTTTATAAAGATTTGATGGCTAAATGCCAAGTTACTCCAAAGCATTTGTTCTCTTTCATTTCTCCCTTGTGATTTATTTTAATTTTTATATGATTACGACACTGTAAAATTATACTTACATTATCAATGTAGTGTAGTTAATGGTAAAAATTATTTAAACTATTATTTTTATCGAGTTTCATACGTCAATTGTTCTATTTACCTACCTAAAGTATAATTACTTTTTTATGAGTTTCATACTTCAATTATTACTCTCTTTGTATTAAAATCCACCTCGATGCTCAGTTGGCCTACACACGCCTACTGTCAATTGGGAACAAATATATGGCCAACTTAGTATTGAGATGTGCTTTATACAAAGGAAGCAATAGTTAAGGTAGGTTTTAAAAAAGAAGAAGGAAAAACTACATAATTAGACATACTACACTACCATATACACTATTATTATCTATATTATCAAAATATTACGTATCTTATCACTAATTAAAACTTTCCTACCATATGTTGAGGAGATACAATTACATACATGTATTTTTACTATCAGATGCACTAAAATAGGGAGAGAAACGAGTGAGATGGGGAGGGAGGCAAGCGAGATTCGTTATGTATCACAGATACATGTGAATCACACTAGATACATGTGTCTGTATGTATCTAGTGTGATTAATTAGGAGAGTGGTGAGCGCGCGAGATGGGAGAGAAATGAGTGACGTGGGCGAGATTTGTTATGTATCCTAGATACATGTGAATATATGGATAGAATGTATCTAGAATAAATTATCCCTATTTTTTACCTCACGTATCTTGAGATACATTTATCTGAGCGTATTTGAATGTATCAAGACACACCAAAATCTGGTAAGATACATAATATTGCAAACTAGGTTGTGTATCTAAGTAATTAGCTCCTAAACTAACGGGATTTATGTAAGTTTCCCAAATAAAAAAAATATTAAGGTTTGAAATTTTTGAAAAAAAGTAATAGTTTTGATGTGTTATTTTATTATGTAGAGATTTACCTATATTTACTTTATAAATAATTTAATTAAGTATTCTCTATGTCCCAATTTATAGATATAGTCAAAATATTGAAAGCCGAACAATTTAATTTGGATTGTAAATTCAGATATAAAATATTTAAATTTTTTAAAATAAAATTTATATATTTGTAAATTACGTAAAAAGTATTACTAGCTAGTATTGTAAATTACTTGACGATGCAAAATATTTAAAAGACATAAAAAATTTATGGTAAATAAAATTTATTTGAATCTTAAAATTTGAAAAGGTATCACATAAATTAAATAGAATAAAATAAACATCTTACACATGGTCAATACATATAATCCTTTTAATATTCTCGTCAAATACACGTCAAAGAAGATTCCATTTGTCAAAACTCCTCCCTATAAATACATACCCCCACGCCATAACACTCAAAATCAGCAAGCAACTCATTGTATCACATTTCATTTTCTTCCTAATATATTTTCTTATTCCAAAACAAATTGAGTATACTACAAAAAAAAATGTCTTTAATACCTCTATTTAATGGTCGCAAAAACCATTCACGTCGTGTGCAAAATTCTCCGCCAGCAACAATAATTACGCCTCAATCCCAAAAGAATCATGATCGTTCTGATTCTTACGATCCAACAACAACAATAATGCATCGTCAATTTAAAACAAATCGAAGTGATGAGCAAGATCTTTATAATTATCCACCACCAACAACAAATCAGGATCTACACCATCTTTTTAATCAACTATCAACAACAAGAATCACACGTCAATCCCAAACAATTCGAGGCCAGAAAGATTCTTACGATCCCTCTCATAAATTTTATCTCGAAACCCCTCGATCTCTCATAGCACCATCACTATCATTCCCACATGTTACTCCATATCTAGCTCAATTTGAGTATAATGTAACCCCAGAAGCATATGTTTTTAGAGCTAATTTGCATGGATATAAGAAAGAAGAAGTGAAGGTACAAGTGGAAGATGATAGAGTCTTAAAGATTAGTGGGGAGAAAAAAATAGTAGAAAAAGAATATGACACTTGGCATCATTTTCAGAAAAAGAATGGCAAGTTTTCAACTGTTTTTAATTTGCCTGAGGATGCTAGGGTTGATAAAGTGATATCAACAATGGATAATGAAGTGCTTATTGTCACTATTCCTAAGAAGGGAGCGGTCAAGAAATCACACGTTAGGACAGTTCGAATATTCTGATATCGATATATTTATATTTCATGTCGAAAATATTATAGTTGAATCGTTGAATATATAGAGGGTATACATCAGCTTTTTTATTAATATAGATGATGTGAACTGAGGAGGTAAAAAATAAAGGGTAGTGTAAGGTCTTTATTAGTTAATGGAGTCGATTTAAGTATGCTTGTGTAATATTAATTAGTACGTAGCTACTCATAATATTAAATAAATAAACTGTGTATTTTTTCTATATTTCTTCTTTTGTCCAAATTTTAATTTGTTGTTTAGGTTGTCCAATAATTTCTCACTTGACATTTTTTGTAGTATTTATAGTGAGGTTTGACTAAATCTGAATTCACATAAAAGAGTATTTACTATTGCACCATAACCCTTATTGATAAAAATATTAATGATTTGAAATATCCCTATACTTGTTCTATTTCGCTTAATTTGCGAGATTCAAAATAATCACTTAGAACAGATATAGGAATCGGAATGAAAACCTCATAAAGTACAAGAATCGGAATGAGAAATCATAATAAATATCGGGACCTTCCGGACCATTCCGTCTTTGTACATATTCATATATATATATATATATATCATCAAGAAGTACGTGATCAGATATAGTTTCTAGTGCAAAAATAGAAGGGGAAATTGTGCAGAATAGCAAACATTTAAACGAAATTAAATGTTATAGCTAGTGCTTTGGAAAATTGTGATTCATAGCCACCGTTTCCTTAAATCTTGTTATTTGTTTAATTTGTGTGATTCACCTAAAAGTATAAATTAGAATTTTGTATAATTCTGTTCCTGATTACATAAATCTATAATATCTATATGTTTACCCTAGATATTTATATACGATTTATAAAAAATTCACAATAAATTATCTTATTTGTATATATTGACAAGCAAAATATACAAATCGAGTTCTGAAAAATTTCTAAATGTATAAATACAGAATTTGTATATACTTACCCTATTTGTATATTCACGAGCGAAATATACAAACGGGCAAACGAAATATACAAACCTCATAAAACATACAAATCATGGCCGTCATAGCAAACGGAACTATAACTATAAAATACAATTATCAAAACTATATCTATAAAGCCTTATTATATCTATTATGTTTCTTATTTCTAAAATTTACTCAAAATAGAATGATGTTAATTAGTGTCTGTTTAAGTGTGGGACAAGTTAAGAAAGTAAAGATATTCCCTAAATCTAAAGTTCTGCCAAATAGTATTCTAGAAGGTTTTATCACATTAAGGCAATTTAATAATTTGTATACATACAATATATATTATTTTTATCCTATTGTATTAGTATAAAATATTCTAACAAATTAAATACTCGTTGAACCAGGCATCTCCGGCCCCTAGGTTTGTATTAGATTAATTAAATGTACACTCGGTTCCAAATACTTCTTATTTTTACTCGTTCAATTTAAATTTTAAATATTTCTTAAAATTGATATCTAGTCTTAGATCTTGAAAAATATATTTTTAATGTAGTGAACGAGTAAAAGTAAATGGAGATCGTAATAATTAACTTAAATAAGAGTATACTTCTTATCTTTTAATATTATTTTAAGATTCTCAGCCATTGTGAGCGCTTTGCTGGCAGAAATTAGATATTACTAAGATTCTTATAATCTAAGCTTGAACTTACATGATATTATTTAAAAAAGACTTCTTCTACATTTTGATATAACTTGTAGAAAACCAAACACAAACATTTTCTCAACAGGAGCTCTTGGCATCTTATTTTTATATGTAATAAAAATACATTTTGTACTAATTAGGTTTCCTCACTATAATAGTTTTCTTCAAAAGAGTCAAGCTAAAATCAAGAGGTTTAAAGCTATAATCCTTTTAAGGCACACAACTTTGAAAATGGTGCATTGATAAATTTTAGATTTTTAGTCAATGCAAAGCTATGTGCTTTACTTTTTCTTTAAAATGGGTTGAAATTTAATATATCGTGATCTACTGATCTTAAAAAATAAAAACATTATTTTTAGAAATTAGAAAACCATTTTTACCATATATATACCCATCTTCTTCAATATTTATATCCGGTGATGTTACTAATTGAGGAGTCAATGATGTTTTAATTCTTTGACCATACTGTTTTTAATTATTTTTAAATTCTTTTAACTGCTATCATATCATGACGTTTAATATAATTTTCAAATATATAATTTTCATTGACGAAAAGTAAAATATCTATCATATATTGATGCAAACATATAATATTTTGATCATCGTACTTCGAATCTAACCTCAAAAATGAACTAGATAATATTTAGGCCATACGAGTTGATTATGTTCTTTTGGTAGATAGTGAGCTGGGAAGAATAAATGAATAATATAGTTCTCGATTGTTCCATTGCTTTTTCATTATTGATAATTTATCTTTTTGTTGTACCTCTAATTTTTCGTTTTTAAGCTTTAGTTTCTTCTTATTGTACTCAATATTTCCATTTTTGCATTAGTGATGTCAGACCATATTCTTGGCTCTTTGGTAAGTGTAAATAACCATGGCTTATGAATTTGTAGAATTGATAAGATACTTTAAACCTTTTAAATAGATGCAAGGTAGAGTTACGTATAATATATAGTAAATAGAACTAGTTGTCTGAAAACATAAAATTCAACCTCCTTCATTAGGTTAAAATTATAATTGTGTAAAATTTATTTATATTTTCAGTTCCAATTAGTTAAATTCGAGTTAGAATAGTAGTGAGTTTGAAAATAATTTGGAATTTTTATAGGACATAGAATAATTTTATATCTAAGTAGCTTATCTTTATTTCCCTGATTTGGTTGATCTCATTTTCTAATATTCCTTAGACAGATAGAAGTGATTAGCATGTTACACCGTACAACAACTTAGGTAGGTAGCATCTGGATTGTGATCGAATAGTTAAAATCTCATATTATTAATTAAAGATCTTGAGTTCGAGCTGTGAGAATGAAAAAGAAATAAGTTAAGAGCAGTTGATCTTCAGAAATGAGTCGTACAATATGTAAATTTGAATTAGTTGAACTCCAACACAAAAATCGAACGCCAAATAACAAAAAACTTAGTAGGTAGCCTTTTTTTACATGTATTCTCCATTTGCAACATGAGAATATATAAAGGTAGTTCATTCATATAAAATATGACTCAATGAGAATGCTCCAAGTGTCCGAATGTCACAAAAAGATCAGCTAGCTTGAAGTCACAATCTTAAGAATTTGTTCTCTTTCATTTGTACCCTTAATAGTGCAAAATTATTTTATATTATCAGTTAGTTTAACTTATTTATTATATTTATAAAATTAGTAATTGATGTTTATCATGTTAACATTTATAGTTAACAGTCACACAAAAAAAAATATCACTTTTATGTGAATTACACATTTTAACTATTAAATGTTTTTTTTTTATCTGAACTAAAAAAACACATTTCGAAGTTGACTAGGTCAACTATGAATTGCTCTATTTTCCTATCTAAGCAATCACCATCTACTCAACTATGTATGTTTTAATACATTAGATGGTGATATATATAGTTTAAATGTGAAAGGAGAATAACTGATAGTTAAAACGTGAGACTTGCGAAAAAATTAATCTAACGATACTTTTCACCATTAAGTATCTCAAAAAAAATTGTGTAATATATTATTGTATAAAATCACATGATTAAGTAAATACTTTTTACACTATTAATATTATTGCAAATTAATCGAAATGTTCAATGAATTATAACATCTCAAATACACGTCAATAGAAGATTCCCAACTTTGAAACTCTCCCTATAAATACACAACTCCTTCTATCACACATTTTATTTTCTTCCTATACGATTTACTTAATTTACTTCCTTTTTTTTTCTTCAAAATTTAACAACAAAAATGCCTTTAATAGCTCTATTTAACGGTCGCAATAATCATGCGCGCCGTGTACAAGATCCTCCACCACCACCATCAACAATAATTACGCATCAATTCCAAACAGATGAAGAGAATCATCGACAAGATCCTCATGTTTCACCTGTAACAAAAATTACGCATCAATCTCAAACAAATCAAGGTCGTCAGAACGGTCCCTCACGTGAATTTTACCTTCAAACCCCTAGATCACTCATAGCACCATCACTATCATTTCCACGTGAACCTCAATCTATAGCACAAATTGAGTACAAAGCAACTCAAGAGGCACATATTTTTAAGGCTAATTTGCATGGATACAAAAAAGAAGAAGTGAAGGTACAAGTGGAAAATAACAAAGTCCTAAAGATTAGTGGGGAGAAAAGAATAGTACAAAAAGAATATGATAATTGGCACCATTTTCAGAGAAGAAATGGGAATTATTTTACTGCTTTTAATTTGCCTGAGGATGCTAAGGTTGATAAAGTGAAATCATCAATGGAAAATGGAGTGCTTGTTGTCACTGTTCCTAAGAAGGGAGCCAAGAAATCTAGAACATTTTTTTTCAAATAATATATTTATAGTATATTTTTATCTTTCGTGTTAGAAAAAATAATGAGTTCAGTTGAATCGTTGATCAAGAGATACATCAACATTAAGTTATTGAGTAATGGATTAAGCATGCTTATGTAATAGCTAGTAGTAGCTACTCATAATAAAGGGTTTTTTTTTTCATAATTGTTCTTCTATATTATTAATACTTTTTATTTTAATTATTTTCACTTATATATATATATATATATAGTTAGTATGATGATGCTATATATGAAATGAGAGTTTAAATAAAGTTGAGATTCATATGGCTGATCCAATTTATTTAAGACCGAGGCTTAATTATTTATAATTGGTTCAAATTAATTCTCTCCGTACTAAATTGTTTAGAATTTTAAAATTATCTCAATTCTTAACTAAACTCCAAATTCATAGAGGATGCAAGACGCTAACTTGGAAAATATTACTATCATAATTATCCTATAATTAAAAAAAAAGATTGATAATTAAATAAAAATATCTGAACGTAAAATTAAAATAATTAAGGGAAATCTTACCGTAATTTGAAGAAAAGCATAAGATGAATGAAACTATGTGCAATACAGGTAATTAGAGGTAGTGGAAGAATGAAATATTTAAGAAAAAAAAAAACATTTTATCTTTGTATTTGTAGACCAGTTAATTTTGCTTAGATTCATTCTAAAACTACGCATTTAGATTTTATTTACAATACATAACAATGATTTCAAAAGATTACCAAATGTAGCTATATTTTGGATCTTGTAGAAAATATACAATACACACGCGTGTTGATCTATCTTCATACATTTTCAGCTGATACAATATGCGTTAATACAGTTGATATATGTTATCTAAATACAACTCTTTTACTGATAGAGTTGATATCCGCTGTCTGAATACAATTGATACAACTCTTCCGTCTAATGCAATGACTATACTTACATTTCGTAAGTATACAAACTATAGCTACATGTGAAATTACGCTTTAAATTATATTAATTTATGAAATTTTCTCATTATATATTATTTTTGACACTGCCATAATGGGAATTCATCTATATTTGTACCTCAACTCAGCAAGAAACAAAATCATGGGCCTATAATCATTTAACAATGGGCCTGCTAAGCTTCTACTCTTAGAATATCAAACCAACCCCACAAGTTAAAAATGGACCTTAATTAATTTTAGAATGAGAAAGAGTCATTTGCACAAATGCTCCTATTTGGGATGATTTTCAATTTTTGTACTTTAAAATGGTTGCTTTTAAATTCTTGAGCAAACCGCATATATTATTCCACTAGTTTAGGATCTAATTATATGTCCTTTCGTATGTTTTTTAAATTATTATTTGTGTCAGATTTCGATCTCCAGATACAATTTTATTTTATTTTGTTAACTATAAGTAATTTAGCGATAAAATTTATAGCTAATTTCTGTTATTTTTTAGTGATTGGTGATTGCATCACACAATCAATTTTTGCTTGTTTGCTCTCTTCCTTCACTATTGACAATGCTCTTAACCACATGACAAAGGTGGGGAAGAATTAGTATACACCTACTACAAAATTTATGATTGACCATTTTATGTGTAGCTGATAATGTACATCGTTACATTTTTTTAGCTAATAAATCTCGAAGAAAAGTTTGTGAAGTCTTTTTAAAATGTGAGATTTAAATCTTAAAAATAAAATATGTTATTTATTTATTATAATAGATGAAAATGACATGATGATGTGAAAATTGCTCAGGTTATATTACTTAAAGGTTGAACCCATCGGTAGCCCTTTAAAGTTGGCATCAACTTTCATTTAGACACCTTAACTAAGTTTTGCTCATTTTAGACATCTCATGTCATGGTCCATTGTGTCATTTTGACACTTTTTTAATTATCAGTCAAATATATAAAGTGTTTGTAATACACTCGTCAATAACGTGTCAAAAATGACGAATTAAATTAAGACACAGGGCATATATATAAAAAATAATTCCTAAATAATGATTTTTAGTACAAAAAAGAAGTGACCAATGAGTGAATGACATGTGGAATTTTTGCCCAAAAAACTTTAAAAATAAAATAACCCAACCACACCCAGATCATCTTCTCCACCCCACCCACCCCAACCTCTTCCTCACCCACATCATCTTCTTCTTTACTATTGCAAGGGTCTTCACATTGTCTTCTTTTAATTTTTATTATATCATTATATTATAACTCCAATGGGTTCAAATTTATTTTTTTGTTAATAGCATTATCAAATTTATTTCTCCATAAAAGGAGTTTAAGTTTTGGGAGATGATGGCTGAAAAATGAGGAAGAAGATGAAAAAAACCGATTAAATAAGTCTTTCACACGCTGGTAATGAGTGTATTACACTCTCTATGACATGTCAGCAAAAAGTGTCAAAATGACATAGCGGAATATGACATGAGGTGTCTAAAATGAACAAAGCTTAGTTAAGGTGTCGAAGTGAAAATTGGTGCCAACTTAAGGAGGTCACCGATATATATATATGTATGACCAATTCATCATGAACTTCAATAGAGATCTTAAAGGGTCTGAAAAAGAGGCAGAAAGAAAAGTAAAACAAATACACAAATCATGAAAACTACATCACAGATAAGTGAGTGTATAAGTGCATGGACGTGGTCAATTTTTTGCTGAACATATCAATCGACAGAGACGGAGTCAAAATTATGAGTCCACGGATACTAAATTTTGAAAAAAACTAAATTATATTATTTATATTTAAAAAAAAAACTATTTAATTTTATCAAATTTCAATGCTAGCTCCGTCCCTGTCAACTCTTACTGCTTGACAAAATAAAACCAAGTAATTAGTATATATAATGGACCAATGCCAAGTATATATAGGGGTCCATTATATTATTTCGAAACCTTGCAATTGAAGAAATATGTGTAAAGTTTATGATGGACCATACTAGGCCCTATATATATTATTCTGGGATAGTAATAAATACACTAGTGAATAGAGTACTCAAAAGAGATGTAGCTATAACAATCAACTCCCCTAATTGTGGCGAGGAATCTTCACATAGTATATCATTTTGTATCAGCAATATTATCGATCAATTGTCATAATTCACTCGATAAGAATATTCAAACAATGTTGGATGACCTTACTAAAAATGTTTTCGTTGATTAAGATGTTGAGTAAAAATAGAGCTTGAATTTAAAAGATGTAAATTACTCATATTTAGGGATGACAAAATAGATGAGTTGATATTTTAAAAAGTCATTGAACTATGTAAAATCATCTAGCAAAGTCATTAAAGTTTATTTTATATCAATAAAATTACTCAACTTACTAGTTTTATCTCCAAAAATCACTCAACTACATTTTTCATTAAACTATATTTGACATGACTAAATAAATTGTTTTTTATGCCACCTAATCATCGCAATGAATAAAATTATAAAGTCAATATTTTTAGGTCCTGATATTAGTTACATTTTTCACGTTTGATTCGGATTTGGGAATCGAATTCCATTTTAGCATATGAATTTTATAGGATTTGAGAATCGAATTCCATTCTAGAATTTATACAATTAGTAAATTTGAATCCTAATTCAAAAAACACTTCAATGCTTTAAAAGATACTTAAAAGCCTCAGTTATGCCTCACTGGAACCAGTTACATGACAACCAAGTTAAACTTTGTTTTTTTTTTTTTTTAAAAGGATAAATTTGACACACAAGTCACATAAACATATTTTAGAACATAAAATTAATTAGTATATAGAAGATTATAAGCTAACTTAGGTGAAGGCAAAGAGAAGTGAAGCAGGAAAATAGTTCATTGAAGTTGCAATTCTGCTAAGACCAAAGAACCTAGAAACGCTCTGATTATTTTGCAAAAAGAAAATCAGGCGAAGAAGGAGAAAAAAAGCATAATTACCTGGCATAAAAATAAACAGATTATATCATTTTTATTATTTTATTTATGAGGTTGTGATTACCTGGCATAAAAATAAATATAATTTTGTTGGATTCATGATTGGGATAAAAAGTAATTTAAATGTCATATCAAATTTATTTTAATGATAAATGTAGTTGAATGATTTTTTAAGATAAAAACCTTAAGTTGAATGACTTTATTGATACAAAACAAAGTTCATGACTTTACTAGATAATTTTCTATAGTTCAATGATCTTTTAAGATATTAACTCCAAAATATATAGTTTATAGGAAAAATGACAGAAATCCCATCTTTTAGTTTACTTATTACCATTATCCCCTATAAGTTTTACAAATTTCCAAAATCCCTCATTTTCGCGCATCAGATTAATGTATCAGTGTTTATATTATTGTATCTCGCGCATCAGATTAATGTATCAACACTTATATTATTATATCTCGCGCATCAGATTAATGTATCATTAAAGGATCGGTGTGGAATTTTTCAAAAGATTTTGCGATACATTTGATGAATTTGCCTATTGTGTTGGTCAAGGGGCACTAATTCAACTTGCAAACAAAAAGCCAAAATGAATGAAAGGTGTATTATTATATAAGTAGAATTTGATGGTTCAGCGCCAAACAAATCACAACATGAACTATTCCATTTCCACCACCATACCATGCAACAACTCATACACGTCAAAGTATTTTCCGCAGGTAACGCCGCTCGATCTGTATAATCAATTATAAATTAAATAATACGATAACTAATATATATATTATTTTCTCTAATACAACGGAGAGAATAAGATTTATCAGAGGCACTTAAGATGGAATATGACAGAACAAAAAAACTATAGATTTTGTACAAAAATAAGTACATAATTAATGTATAATTATTGATCAATTCCCCTGCCTGTCATACCAGATCATAGAGGAGTTGAATATCATCATTTTTCTGCAAAACACCCAGAGACACTGGCAACAAAAGTATAGAAAGTAAGTTGTAATTCCAAGCAAAAACTTATATTCTTTTGATTCCCTACACACTATCCAAACAAAAAACATGGATTTCTTTTGATTCTAAACAATCTTTCATCTTCTTATATGATTTAACTATCTAACACCACTATCCAGAACTAGTAAACAAAATCTCCCCTGCTTCTAAAACTTCGTCAGTAAGTCCAATCCTGCGGAAGAAGTAGCTCTTGTGACATCGTTGGTGGTCGTGAGTATGTACTGCCCGATCTCAAATTACGTCTGGGTTGAGCCACTGCCGTATTATTTGGATATTGCAAACCATTGGAACGAATCAACCCGGTTCTGCCTTGATAACATGTGGCTTGAACCTGATTATTCTGTTGCCTAGCTTCTAAGTTCAAGTTCAGGGCCTGGACCACTCTGTCTGGTAGTAAAACTGTTGAACATCCTGCTAATTTCCAAACACATCTTGTTAGGACCCAAATAATAATCTACTGTCATTAACCATGAGTAATATCAGAATCTAAACACAAGAAAGGTGAAATGAAATCTGAGTCAAACAGATTAGCTGGTAGTAGTAAAATTTGAATCTTTCTTTGCTGTTCACACCAACCCAAAAAAGACATAGACCAATTGGAAAGCATCTATATGACTAGACGCTGACACTAAAGAACAGTCCAAAACTAGAGTCATCTTCCACTATCAACGCCAAGAGACTATCAATAAAAATAATTAAGACTAAATCTTCTCCATTAAGTAAATAATTCAAATCTATATCCATAGAGTCAACCTAAGTGGTAATACCACTTCACTAATCAATGAAGTAATTTAGTTGATAATATCAATTGATGACAGGGTCTATCGAAAACCGTCTCTTTACCTCTAAGGTCGGGGTAAAATGTATACCTGGTTTCTTTCGAGTTTCAGCTTGTGTCCCAATTCTTCTGGGCAAGAAAACACCAGTTCCAGCGCACTCTCTTTTTGGATTTTGATTTCCCAGGAAAACAGCGCGCATGCCTGAGCCAGGCTGCTGCTGAAACTGAGATTGTTGCAACGAAGACCAACTAGAAATTGAAGAATTCATAGGTCTAGCAGCTCCATTTTGGCCTCTGCTATGAGAGAATTGCTGGTGGTTCTGGTTCAGCGGATACTGCTCAAATCCACCTTTACCAGAACCCAAGACTCCATGGCCTTGCTTCATTAACTGTTGCTGTTTCAATCGCTGAAACTACATTCCATATATAAACAAACATATAAGCTAAAAAGGCAAAAAAAAAAAAAAGGTGGGATTGTAGCAGTATCAAAACTTACTTGAGCTATTTGCAACTGCTGGTAAGAGAGCGACGGCTGATTTGAATATTTTGGGGGCAATCCAGTTTTTGTCTGATAAAGTCCGGCAGCTTCCTCCATCATCCTAATCCTCGCGACTTCTCCGGCAGCCGCATAAAATTGATCAAAAGCTCTATCCCTTTGGTTCACCGGCGGCGGGGAAGAGGCCTGTGAAGGACAGTTTGGGCTTCCATGGCTTGATCCCTGCTTGCACCCGTATAACGTCGACTGAGGCGAACATGATAAACTCCAACCCTAGAAAGTAGAAAAACCAAAACCCCCAAATATTCATCAACCAAAAACACACCTTAAAAACCATGAAGAAAAAAAAACGACCCAGAATCAAAAGGTACCTTGGTGTTTCCATAGCCGAACCCAGAGTCCTGAAGTGCAGAGTTAGCCATTTTCCGAGTTAACCCATTAATATACTCTTCTTCATCACTCTCTGTATCTACTGACCCGATCACAGACTCCACCGGCGAACTCAGATCCGAGTGAGTTCCAAACGGGTTAAACCCGGATCCAAAATCATCCGTCAGAAACTTTGAAGGAAGCCAAAACTCACAATCATCCACCTTCTTCGCCATCTCAACAACTAAAGAGTCGTTACTAGATGTGCTTAATGAAGAGCTTTAACTGATCCAAACGTTGCTGCTTCTTTACGATACAAGTAATAATTACAGCCACAACAACCCCTTTTGTGCTTTTCTGTTCTATGAAAAAAGTGGCAGGGGGGGGGGGGGGTTGAGTGTTCTATGAAAAAAGTGGCAGTTGCAGTAGCAAATTGAGTATTGAGAAAAACAGGGGAATGTGAAAAAAAATCTAAGGGATTTTAAAGAGAATGGGATATGGTGGGGCTTGCAAGAAAGGAGTTTGAATAGCTATTTTTATATCCAGTTGGTATGTTAGTAGGGACAATGAATTAAGGGTTATAGAAAAGTTTCAAAATTAGGGATTGGTGACTCAAGTGTTAAGTATTGAGTAGGGGTGACAATTTTTAAATTAAGAATTAAGGGATTGAATTTTTCATCCCTAAGTTTTTTTATTTTACACTTTAGTCCATCAATAATAAGAAATTGAGGGGAAAAAAGGGTTCCAACAGCTCACTTTTTCCCTTTTCCTCTCTTGCGTATTCTTCCATTGTTGGGGACCATTGTTGCTTCTCTTCTTCTTCATTCTTCTTCTCCATCATCATTCTTCTTCTTCTTCATTCTTCTTCTCCATCATCACTCTTCTTCTTCTTCTTGTTCATCACCATCATCTTCTGGTTGTTCATCATTTTTTTCTTCTTCAATTGATATTTATATTGTACTGTTGCTTTCAAACCAAGTTTCATTCATTTATCATTGGGCATTACATCATAGGTGATTTTGGTAAGTAAACTAATGATTTTTACTCGAATTTTTCATTTTGGTATTTTGAGTGTTTCTTAAAAAATTTACAGTCGTGTACCCAACAGGTAAGTCATCTGTTGCAACAAATAGATTACCTGTTGGATACATATTACAGTACCATGTCAAGCTGGACTGAACTAGAAGTTTGTCCCAACAGATAAGTCATTTATTGCAATCGATGAGTCATATGTTGCACCAAAGTGCTTACCCGTTGGATACATATTACAGTATCAAGCCAGGTTGGGAACGAACCAGAAGTTTGTCACAACAGATGAGTCATTTATTGCAACATATGAGTCATCTGCTGCACCAGACGATTCATCTGTTGCAACAGATGGCTTACCCGTTGAATATATGCTACAGTACCAGGCCAAACTAGGACAAAATCAGAAATTTGTCCAAATAGGCAAGTCATATATTGCAACAGATTAATTACATAATGCAACAGATCAATTACCTATTACAACAGATGACTCATCTGTTATAATAATTGACTTACACGTTGGATAAACTTATGGTTCTGGACATGTATCCAACAAGTGAATCATCTGCTGCAACGGATGACCTACTTGTTGCAATAAATGATTGACTTGTTGGTACAATGATTGTGCATATGATTTTTAATTGTAATAGCCACTCAACTTTACTAAACTATCATCATTAAATATTTTTAATAGATTTCTTTAGGTACCATTAATGGAAGAATCAATAACAATAGTTGTTGATAGTTGGTGAATGGATTGAGAAGAATAATAGATTTATTTGGTGTTGGAAGGATGGTGACATGTCAGAGTCAGTATTGATGACCGTCCAAAGAGATATTTTGTATAATGATTTTGTGAACCCAATCATTAGCTATTGTGGACTAAATTGTCAACCAAATGATCTTGTCATCAGTTGCATGCACAAGTCTTTTGAAAATCAGAGGGCCCTACTTTTTAAGATAAGCAATCAACTTCGTTTACGTGCTTATCTGAGTGATGCAACTAGGTTCGTTTTAAGGGTGTACGTTGTTGAACAATCAATAAAGAATGAAAATGTAAAACAAAACCAAAAAAATCTGTTAAATAATGAATTGAATGGGATGAACATGAATATTTCAGATGATGAGATTGGACATGATATGGAGGAGGACCAAACACCAACACCCATTGTTGATATAAGGGGCAGTTCTCAGTTAAAGCAGTTGAACAATATTCAAGATGATGAGACATGTTTTTACATAGGAATGACATTCAAGAACAAAGAAGAACTAGTCACTTCATTGCATATTGCTTGCTTGAAAAAAGATTTTCGACTTGCAAAAATGATTAATTCGCGTAGTGTGTATTGTTTTAAATGCGCACATCTGGTTCCTCCTGAAGATTCTTGGATTGTTCCTTTGGAGATTTTGGAGAGAGAAATACCTCCTCCATATGTTGACTAAAGCAAACCAGGAAGAAGGCGAACGAAGAGGAGGCGTGGAGTCGAAAAATCATTTCCACAAGAAAAAATAAGTGTTCAATATGTAAAAATATTGGACACAAGAGAACAACATGCCCAGTTCGAAATGCTCCATAATTATTGTAATAGTGAAATAGTCATTTTGTACTTGGTTATGAATCTGATAATTTTAATTCAATTTGGTTAATTGTGTATGTTCATATTTATTATATAAAATATATTAGTTATGCTTATCCGTTGCAACAAACTTTGCATATTTTGCATAAGATACATTATCTATTGAATTATTTGTTGCAATAGGTAACCCATCTGTTGAAAATAATCAAATAAATATGATCACCTGTTACAACAATTAAAGGAATTTGTTACAACAAATGTCTAATATGTATTATCTGTTGCAATAGATGACACATCCATTGAAAATAATCAAGCATATATGCTCATATGTTGCAATGGATGCTTCATATGTTGCAACATATGAGCATTAGTTGCAACATATGAGCATATATGTTTGATCATTTTCAACTGACTCTATATATATTTGATATGAAATGCTTTATTAGCTCATAATTAGTGATAAATAAAGTTATTTAATTATAATTACCTTTTAATTAATAAGTTCAATTATATTTTCAATGTATTGTAAAGTAATTACATGATCAACTAACTGTATTCGTCTTAAATAAAGTCATCAGTTGATTATTTTGATATGAAATGTTTCATTAGTCTATAATTAATGATAAATAAAATTATTTAATTATAATTATCTTTCAATTATAAGTTTAATTATAATCTCAATGCATTATCTGTTGCAATTAGTAACCCATTTGTTGAAAATATTCAAATATATATGATCATCTGTTGCAACAAATATAGAAATCTGTTACAACAAATGTCTAATATGTATTATTTGTTGCAATAGATGACCCATATATGCCCATCTGTTGCAATGAATGATTCATCTGTTGCAACATATGAGCATATATGTTTGAACCGACTCTATATATATGTCATCTGTTGCAATAAGTAACTCATAACTTGTTGCAACATATGTCTATTTTTAATAGTATAGTTTAACATTTTACAAATCTAAGAATAGAATGGAATTCATGGTAAAATTACTGAACATCTATTAAATATAAAATATTGTCACTAACAATTACAAAATATGATTAACTAAATATATACCACCAACTGAAATAGGTGAATCCACCATATATACCACCAACATCGTCAACATGCTCACCACCACTTTTAACACCAACATCACCAATATCAATACCAACATTAACATCAGCATCATCACCAACATTTATTGCAATATCATCAGCATCACCAGGAACAATAAGTGCTTCCCTTTTGATGGTTGTTGCTCCAGCCATTACCTTTTTTATCATATCCACTGTAGGGTCTGATTTTGTGTTAATGATTCCTAGAGTTAAAAAGAATGGCATTTGCAACTCTTGCTCTGTGGGGACAAGCCAGAGATGTACAATCTATAAACAAAAGTAATTTATATTAAAACTAATCTATAAATTATAATAGATAAAATATTTATTATAAAATTGTATTTCTAACAGATGATCATTCTGCTGCGACAGATGGACCATCTATTGGAAGAAAGCTATACAGTAGCAAATTATCAAGTTTTCTTCCAATATATGAGCCATCTGTTGCAGTAGATGGACCATCCATTGAAAGTAAGCTAAACAACAACAAATTATCAGTTTTCTTCCAACAGATGACCCATTTGTTGCAACAGATCGATCATCTGTTGAAAGTAAGTAAAACAGTAGCAAATGATTTAGACTTCGTCCAACAAATGACCTATTTGTTGCAACAAATAGGTCATTTGTTGGATGTAAGTAAATCAGTAGCAAATGATTAAGTTTTCGTCCAACAAATGACTCATCTATTGCAACATATTAGTCATCTGTTGGACGAAAGCAAAATAGTACCAAACTCTTATGTTTTCTTCCAACAGATGACCCATCTATTGCAATAGATGACTATAGATGAGCCATTTATTGAAAGAAAATTAAACGAAAGCAAACTAGATAATCAATTAATTTAAATAAAGATTATTCTATAGAAGACTTACTATATCATGAAGAGGACTGAAGAGATCAACATAATTTATTTTTGGATTGTTCTTGGCAGACAACCACCTAAGAATCCTTGGTTGAGAAATTTCTTCCGAGTAATCCTTGAATAGCTTCCTAAGGTAAGGTATTGCTTCAAATGCCTAAGCCTAAAAATATAAAGATGATGAAAATAAAATTTTAAAATAATTATTTAATAATACAAATAAATAAAATACTAAAATTAGAGGTGAAGTTTACCATGAAAACCTAAGGAAAGCCATATAAATTGTTAGTCTTCAATGATAACTTTGAAAACAAATATTCGACAGTCAAGAAATAGCTTTCATTACCCCATGGGTAATTGTTGAATGCATCCAAATCCTGAGCAAGTACAAAATAATCTCACATAGCAAACTATATACACTTCACAAGTTGGTTTTGACACTTCATACACTTAGAAGCCAGTCAAGAAAATAGTTCACACTCTCAAAATAATCTTAACCAAAAGGGCACACTATAGTTTATATTCTCAAAATAATCTAAACTAACAGCCTATACCAATATACAAAATTAAGATACCATGCCAAAAACCAAGTTCATTTCTAACTTAATTTCTTGCCGCAATGTTGTTTAAACAAACATAACCAAGTGATAAAATCACCAAAATTGAGATCACACTACCCTTTTGTGTCAAATAGATTAAAAGGGAAAAATAAATTTGTATTCATCAAAACAATCCATAGCTTAACAAAAATAAGCTAAATCATTTCATTCCCAATCAAAAGACCGGAAATACATATCCCACTACCTTTTATGTAAAATAGCTTAATACTACCAAAATTGCATATCTCTTCATCAAGTACTCCCTAGCTCAACTTTCATAAATGCGGAAGAAGCTGAACAAGCTCGTTTTCAGTGGGATCACTTTATCAAAATAGTAAATGCAATTTTAGCTTAAGTCACCGGATTTAAAATATAACTGCATTGATCACCCATACGCGACAACAAATTCAACTCAGTACAAAATTATTTTCTATACACGCGTATATGTACTATCTATTACTAAATGTCTATTTTAATCTAGAAACGAAGTATATATTACTGATTAAGCATATAAATCGCACACTAACCTAATCATCTCCAATAGAACTTTGTTACTCCTAGAATTTTCACCAAGTACCTGCAGAAGTGCAAAAAAAAAAGGGTAGATTAGTGAGATAACAAATTACAGAGAATTTAGATTTCCAGGAACCTAATTGGGCAAACCTTTTCAAAATTAGATATAAACCCATGAACTCTTTTCAAAAATACCTGCAGAACATGTCAACCCATTAGGAACCCAATTGGACAAACCCCTTTTCTTCTCCATCTCACCTAAACAAGCAAAAACTTCATTCTCAACCGGAATCGCACAAAACCTGGGCAGCGCTTGAGGGAAGAGTATATGCAAATTGTAACCTCCCTCAGAATAGTCTCTTTGCAATATTTCTTCAAAAAATAAAAAAAATAAAAAACTTGAATTTTTTTCAAAAAAATAAAGCTTTACCTGCAAATCTTTGTTCCCTTGGATGGTTAGAATAGACTACTCGAAAGTTCAAAGTACGGCCGTCGGAAGTTGAAAGTTGCCGGAGAAATTGATTGTCCCGATTGAAGCAATTTTGAATTTTTGAGAGAGGAGAACGTTTTCGTTTGTGAGAGAGAGGAGAACATTTGAGAGAGGGAGTGGAAAGTTTATTTATTTAGTGGGTGGATTGTTTTGTATTTCTAAAAAGATTATAAGTTTTGAAAATGTTAATTGAGTTCACAATTAACTTAATTTAATAGTTAAATGTGTTTGACCTTTTCTTGGTCAAAATAGTTACCAATAGTTAATTCCAAACTTGAAGGATACCTTTCCTTCAATTTTCTGATGTTAGTAAGTGCCAACTAGCAAATCCTCGATTATTAAATGCAAATTTTGTGATAATATGCATGTATTCAATAACCACTAAATTGACAATATTACTCTATTTGATATTTTTAGTTTCACATGACCCCAAGATTTAAATTTTAAATTAAATTATGAGTTCGACTAAGTTCGTATTTTAAACACTAACTTCACCTTTGATGTTCAATTTTTAAAGTCGATTTAGATTGATTTATTTTAAGTATTTTTAAGTTACAATAATTTTAAAGTGATTTTGTAGTGTTTGGATAAGTTTAGAAAAGGCTTATAAGTACTTAGTTTAAGCTATATATATAATGACTAAAATAAGTTAAAAGTTGTAAGTTAGAATTTCTAACTTATAATCTTTGACTTATAAGTCAAAATTATAAGTCAATTCAAACGGGTTTAGAATCTGTTTGAATTGACTTAAAAGTTTGTCAAATTTACTTTTAAGTTAATTTTAGATTTTGAAAGTGTTTGACAAAGTTAAAAAAATAACTTAAAATAAGTTTAAAAAACACCTTAAAAAAATTAAAAGTAAATACTCCCCTACTTTTCATTTTTTTTAAATTTAAAAGTTACTTAAATTTGACTTTTCTTAAAACTATTTTTAAAACTATTTTTAAATCAAACTGCTCTTAATACTTTAATTTAGAGCCTTGCTAATATGGGTTTCAAGTTTAAGAAGATTCTATGAGATTTCCTAAAAGATTACAACTTATCTTGATCTTATTAAAGGAGAAAGCTAGTAGATCAAGGTTTCTACATATTTGCTATATCGATAAAATATTTGATGTCATATACATCTTTACTCTTAGAGTTTTGAATTTGAAATCTTAATTAAGAAAGAAAAGCCCGCTATAATCTTTAGTAGTTATAATATTATTTGATTTAGTTGGGATTTCTTAAACATAATTATATATAGTTTATTTGATAAAAGAATGTCATTTCAACCTTAAAAGTTAAAAGTATAGATAATTAAATGAAATTGAATATTATCTGATGATATATTATATTTTTGTATAACGAGTATTAGGGGTCGTTTGGTTTGAATATGAATTATGATGGAATAAGTTATGTTGGGATTAGTTATGATGGAATAAGTTGTCATGTGATTATTTCTTATTGAGTGTTTGGTTTGTTGTATTCAAAATAATATATATTGATAAATTTTAAGAACAAGTTGTTTGTTTATAAAATTACCCTTCACTTTATTTAAACTTTTAAAAATTTTCTTTGCGAGCTTTAGTTATTCATTTTTTAAAATAAAACTTTTATTTTATTTAACTTAAATATTTTGTTTATGTATCCTCGTGATAAGTCCCATGTGTATTTAAAAATATAATTTTTTTCTTATTTAGCTTAAAAATAGAACTTCCCTCTTAAGTTTGTTAAAGAGAAGAAAATTTATGAGAAATCAAAATAAAATAAACATAAGAATTAGTCAAATAAATTCATAAATAAAAATTATATTTATATAATGTAATATTTAATAGAAAAATATGTATAATTATCATAAAAATAAGGAGTAGTAAATATTATTATACATGGTATTAAAAATAATATAAATATACATAAATGTGAAAAATGATGTATAAAAGGATTTAAAGGGATATATTTGTCATTTACCTATTTTATCCTGGGATTACTATACCACCCAATGTGAGGGATAACTTATCCCGGTACTAATTCATAATTCTGGGATAAGTTATCCCAAGCTTTGCAACCAAACAACGAAATAAAAGGTACTTGAAATTTAACCTGGGATTAACTCTCCTTATCCATCACACCAAACGACCCCTTATAGTACATGAACAATATAAAATACTATTATTTAAAATACATGGTATACAAAGAGCATCGTGTAAGTTACTTGTGGTATAATGATCAATGATCTATCCGTTGATAGTAGGTGTTAACGTATTACATTTTACATTTATAAGCTTCCGGTCAATGTGTATAGAAATGGAAAAAAATATCAAATATATATATGTATTGTTTATTTTAGTTCACACCTATTGTTGGCTAGTTTGTCCATATTAGTTGAGTAAATTAATTATTTATCTTTTGTATAATTCAAGACAAATTTCATTTTATAAGATAATATTATTTCCGTTTCATATAGGTTGTCTGAATTTCATTTTTCGAAAGTTTAATTGTGATTGCTTAGTATTTTAGAATAGATGTTTTCATAAAATTAACATATGGAGAATCACAACTTGTAATATTTATCGTATAATTTTTTAATATTTAAATTTAAAATATAATATATATTCAATTAATTTTATTTATTCAATTTAAAAAATGAGTAAAATTATTTAAAAAATAAAATAAAAATATGACAATTATTTTGAGATAAAAAGGAGTACAATTATTACTTTTACTAATTTTAGAACAAGGGCAAGTAGGCATCAAATGCTAGAGATCGTACACGGAGATGTAGAAAAGGACTATTAACTTGCGTTTGTAGATTTATTTTTTGCCCATTTTGATCTAATCTTTTATTAAATTAAAAATTTTAAAAATCTAACATAATCTTTCATTTTCTTTTAGAAAAAATAATACCTCGTCTTAAAAGATAAAATACATAGGGTTGTGTAAAGATATGGTTCTTTTGCAACTTTATTATTAACTTTTTTAATCACGAGGGTTTAAAAATCATTAATTTACAAGTTACAGACTTTTTTGATAAAAATAGAATATTTGTGTAACTTGATCAATTTTCTCTTTAATACTCCCTCCGTCCCTTTTTACTTGTCCATATTTCCTTTTTTAGATGTCCCTATTTACTTGTCCATTTTGACAAATCAAGAAAAGACAACAAATTTTTTCCTATTATACCCTTATTTCCCTCCAATTTATTTCACTTGAATTCAAATAAGTGGTTGTAATTTTGAAATGAAAAGTTGTCATAAGGGTAAAATTGTAACTTCACTGTGCTAATCATTGTTGCCTTAATCTGTGTGCCATTTCTAAAGTGGACAACTAAAAAGGGACGGAGGGAGTACTTCATTGTCCTTATTCTTTAGTCACATCACTGACAAGTTATAGACTTTTTTGATAAAAATAAGTCCACGAAATTAGCTTTAATTATAAGGAGTAGGGACTCCATTCTTTCTCCTACATCTATATGTCTTTGATTAATTCTCTATTAAAAATACTTCTAAATTTGACGTAAAATATTAATTTTCTTTCTAAATTATTAACGATTTTAAAAACACTTATTTTGTTGACAAAAAATCTTTTGCCTAAAAGAGGCAAAGAGAGGAGCATAATCAAAACGAAAATGTGTTTGACAAAGTACATATGTTTTGGTTCTTATGATCCAAGTGGGAGACAAAATTTTCAATTTTTAATCAAATGAACTTAGTATGAGTGTAGTAAATTCGTACTATTCTCACGTATATTTCACGATCATCTAACATAAGAGATTGGGATGTACTATTCTCACGTATATTTTGATTGAATCGGTGAAAAAAAATAGTATTATAATACTTTCACAAGGAAATTAGGAAGCTTTTAGTATTTCGGTAATTCAAAGTTCAATTTTAGTAATTCAGTAATTGATAATTGAAAATAGGTATTAAATATTAAACATTACGAAACTTTGGTAATTATGTATTGAAGGATAGATATTTTGACAAGATATATTCATATTTCGTCAAATACGCATTTAACATCAATTACATGTTAACTTTTAGAGAAACCATGTGTAGAAGTTAGATCTCCTCTCTCAAGCAGTGACATTACAAATTTATTGGCATAAATCAATTAAAACACCTAAATTACTTGTTAATGTTATCCATACATATGGTATACCATAATTCAGTAGAGGTGAACATTTGATATTCAATTCGATATTTTCAGAGTTCAATTTTAATAATTCAATAATAAAAAGTAGATATAACTTCGATACGATAAATTCTGATTCGCTTTCTTAGCGAAATGCATGCTTCGGTTCACATCAAACATCGCTCTTTTCCCTTTTGCCCCTACCTTGGTGTTGACCCTAGGTTCGCTAGCTTCGATAGTTTGATTTTCAGTTTAAACCCTAGGAATTTATTCTAATGTATAGTATTAATTAAATATTCTACTTATGGTTTCCCTCTTGCATCAACTGGATTATGATATTGGTTTCTATAATTATATATATGGAATCTTGATATATAATTGCATCATTTTTCTTTTACGTTTCGAATTCTTATATGTCCTAATGGAATATTGCTTGCTTGTACACCATTAAGTCACGGAGGTCTACATGACAATATATTCTAGATGCATATTATAAGGAAAGCTTAATACATGGTCATTTTTAAAAAAATTGTCACGATATTTCATTTAGATATTTGAACTAAGTTATTTTTCAATTAAACATGCTAATTCTTAATAAAGTATTTTAATTAAACACTTTCAATTCAAATTTTAAAAATATTTTTACGTGTATTTTCATTCGTCTATCAGATAGTTAATTTAACCACATAAATATATGTCATCTCCTTCATTATAAGCATCAGCCTCAAGTAGAAAAGACCCGAGATTTTATGGCTTATCAACACAAATGTTATAGTTAGAGTAAATGACATATTTTATGTGGTTAACTTAGCAGCTACCTAATAAACGAATGAAAACATAGGCAAAACCGATTTTAAAATTTAAACTAAAAGTGTAATTGGATACAGTTTATTATAATTGATGTGTTCAATTAAAATGGGACCAAATCAGTCACATGCCTAAAGTTATTTTTGGGCCATCTCAATTTCTAGTTATTAATTGAGGGGAAGAGAATGGGCACGACACCAAGCCCACATTTCATTGTTCAGCATATGTCAACAATAAAATTCAAGATTGAAAAGTATTGTAATAATCATAGTACTTTATTTTGAATATTGTAGATATGTTATAATCTTTATGAATTTTCTGATTTTTAAAATTAAAATTTCATTAATTTTTTTTAATTGAGATTTTTGACTCAATTTTATCTTAATTTTGTCGGGGGGCAATAAATAAATAAAATAAAGGCCGATTCAGATGCGGCTAGAAAGGCTCGTTTGAGTGTATTTAAAGGTTTTTTAGTTTGATCTTGATCAATCTATATGGTTTCTACGAAGAATGATAATCTTGACTTCAACTAGCACAAACAGATAAGTTAAATTTAATTTGTATTCCTTGAATCTGATTTTTTTTTCACATTTGAGGAATATACTCTTATATATATATATATATATATATATATATAGATAGATAGATAGATAAGTTAAATTTAATTTGTATTCCTTGAATCTGATTTTTTTTTCACATTTGAGGAATATATATATATATATATATATTGTTATCATATACACTAAGACGGGTGAGATGGGGAGGGAGACGAACGAAATTTGTTATGTATCTCAGATACATGTGAATCACACTCGATACATATTAGTGTAATTCACATGTATCTAAGATACCAGATTCATAGGAGAGTGGCAAGCGAGATGAGAGAGGTGAGGGAGGCGAGATAGATTTGTTATGTATCACAGATACATGTAAATTCACTTGGATACAATGTATCTACAATAAATTACACATAATTTTAACCTCGTGTATCCCGAGATACTGGATATGTATATCTAGACGTATCTGGACGCACCAAAATTCAAAAAGATATATAATATTGCAAACCAGAATGTATCTATGTCATTTGATCTTAAACTAGTGAGATTCATATAAGTTTTCGATGTATAAAGTATATAACATGTATACACACTGAATGCAAATATTTGTGTTTTTTTTTTTTAGTAATATTGGTGGAGCTATGGTGGAGCTGGTATAGCTCCTTTATTTCAATAAACCCAAATATTTACGGATTTGGCTCCCCTTCATTACCCTTTCCCTCCATTTCGTCAAGTACACATATAGATGAGAGACATGTGTACTATTTAATTGTTAAAGGTTAAGATTATATTTCATTAACTAGTATCATAACCATAATTAAGTGAATAAAGTTTTGAAAAATAATTTCTTAACTTTGGTAAGAAAAATATTCCTACAAATCTTAGACCCCTTTGATTTCATTTTATATTTCTATATTCAAATATTAATATTGTACATTATTTAAATCGCTTCCTATGCTAGCAATTTATCTTGAAATATTATGTTGAGAAATTTAAAAAAATAAAAGGAAGAATTATCATTGATGATAGAAATCATATAATAAAATTGGGAAGTAAAAAATGCATTAGAATTACAAATGTGAAAGTATCCAAAAAAATAATCTTTTTTTTAAAAAAAAAACATCAATTTAAAGTCAAAATATTTTGTAAGATTACTGTTAGGCTAAACAAATTAAACGTTATTAAGTTCATGTTCCATAATTTTAATATTTAAATATAAAAATATAAAATAAAATCAATGATACCAAAAATTGAGAAGAATTAATTATTCTTACCAAAGTTAAGAAATTATTTGTCAAAACTTATTCACTTAATTATGATTATGATACTAGTTAATGAAATATAATTTTGACCTTAAACAATTAAATAGTATACATGTCTCTCATCTAGATGTGTATTTGACGAAATGGAGGGAAAGGGTAATGGAAGGGAGCCAAATCCAATATTTACAAACATAGACCCTTAAAAATAGGCCCAAAGGTAATCTTGAACAATAAACATGAAATAATGTGGTTTTCCCATTTCACCCATAAATCATGAAAACAGAAAGAGAAGACCAAAAAACGAAAAAAATGGATCAAATTTCTATACTTTTAACTTCCATTATTCACGTAACACCTCTACTTCAAATCATAATTAGAGAAAACAAAATATATACAAAAAAAAAAAAAACCATTTCCTTGAATTATTTTTTCAGTTTTCACAAGAAAGAAAGAAAGTGGTTATTTTTTTTAAAAAAAAATGGGGAATAAGGGGAAGACAATTGGTGTGGCAGTGGATTTTTCAACGAGCAGCAAAGAAGCATTGAAATGGACAGTTGAAAATTTGGCTGAAAAAGGTGACACAGTTTACTTAATTCACATCAAAACTCACACTCTCAGTGAGTCCCGCGACCAGCTCTGGTCAAAAACTGGTTCGCGTAAGTTCCTTTATTATCAGTGTAATTTAATTTGTTATACATATGTATATATTCATTGAGGAGCCAAAGAGGGTCAAGGGCGGGTTCATCAATTGAATCCCTTTGGCCTAACATTAATAATGTGTTGCAAAAATAGAGTAAAAATATTTTTTTCATAAATTCGAAGATCTCCATAATACATTAGGAATATTTAAGTTTAGTGGTAAAGGGGCTAAAAATAGTATTTCCTCATAAGTAGATATCCTAGGGATAGATGTGATACTCTAATATTTTTCAAAATCGTCTAGTCTGAATTTATGGCTTCGCCACTAATTATATCATGATCACCTGTTTAATTTTTTAGGTAACTAGTTTCATATTATGTGTCTGTAGTTATATTTAGGTGACTTTTTGTTTGTATCATTTAGGTGATGTGATGGAGTAACAATTCTTTTATATTGTCGATTGATATTAAACTATTTTTTTTTAATTTTTGGATAATTTTTCTTTTTGTTTTTTCACTTTATGACGTGGTTTCAATTTATTTTGTTAGCTCTGATTCCATGGGTGGAGTTTAGAGATCCAGAAGTGATGAAGTATTATGATATCAAAAAAACTGATGTCCAAGTTGTTGATTTACTTGATGCAGCTACCAAGCAGAAAGAGGTAGTAATTATTTTGATCTATTAATTAGTACTACTATGATTTTTCTTATAAGTCTAATCATATATAGTCTCTATTAAAAAAAGAAAAGAAATTAACAATATACAAAATTTCATACCTAAATAGTAATATTAATCTCATGCTAACACCATTTAACGACAAATTATTAAAAAAATCCATTTAGTTAAGAGCTACGAATTAGCTAAGAATTACCGAAAAATTCCGTAACTAAGTAATTAGTCATGTCTTGAAAGTATTGATTTGTTGTACAGATAAACATTGTGGCAAAAGTGTATTGGGGAGATGCAAGAGAGAAAGTATGTGACTCTATTGAAGATCTCAGGTTGAATTCTTTGGTCATGGGTAGCAGAGGCCTAAGTACTATCCAAAGGTACTTATTTTCCATTATTCTATCACTATTAAAAAATAGAAAGTACTGACGGGTAAATTCAAATAACTAATTCTATTTAGCAATAAATTATCAAAAAAATGGAAAATATTAGCAGATCAGTTGATTGACTACATGAATTTTCACCTTGTTGATGATGGTTTGATTCTGACATTCTGCACCTTGTAGATAAAAAAAAACATGTTAGTTTCAAGCTATTTAGCGATAAAAAATATGTTATCCCTATGTTGTTTTTTATATTCCATATGACTCATTAACTTTTGGATATTTTATTTTTTGAAACAGGATAATGTTGGGAAGTGTAACAAATTATGTATTGAACAATGCAGCTTGTCCTGTGACTATAGTTAAGGATCCTGATTTCCACAAGCATTGATCACAATTAATTCCTCCAACGTGAGCCTTGATGCTCATTTAATAAGAATGTTTCTACACATCTTTTACTCTTGGAGATTAAGATATATACACCGACATATAATATAAAGAATTTTTACATTATCGAAATAATATAACTGTTTACTGGTTATAACAAGTTAAGTATTATTTTATTTTCTAAGTTATCATCTAATACACGCGCGCGCACACACATATATATATAAATCCCTTTGCTCCAAGAATAATGTTACCATGTACTAGGATTACGAGTTACGACTTGTTGGGGTAAACCATTCAGGGAGTTTAAATAGGAGATATTCACCGATGATGTAAAAATCGTTTTTCACTATCAGATCATTTTTACCTAAATTGTTTACTGACATTTAAATGTAGGGCAGGTAAAAAAGAACTATTATGATAGAGATTTTTTTTTTTGGTAAAATAATAGAGATTCTTAGTAATGCTAATGCTATGTTGTGTGTAAATTACTCACTAGTGCCAAACCTATTGTAGTGTCCCAACAATTCCTAACTTAACAGAAATCTCACTAGTTTAGGAGTTAATTACTTATATACACGTTGGTTTACAATATTCCAAATCTTACTAGATTTTGGTGCGTCCAGATACGTCTAAATACATGTATCTTGGGATATATGAAGTCAAAATTAGATGTAAATTGCTCTAGATACACGTATCCTAGTGGATTCGTATGTATCTTGGATACAAAGACAAATCTTGTTCGCCTCCCCTCTCATTTCGCTCTCTACTCTCCTATGTATCTGGTATCATAGATACATGTGAATCACACCATATATATATATATACATATACATGTAACTAGTGTGTATCTAGTGTAATTCACATGTATCTGGATATATAGAGAAATCTTGCTGGCCTCCCTCCTATTCTCGCTCGCCTCTCTCCCTATTTCAGTGTATCTGGTAGCATAAAACATGTATCTAGTGTATCTCGTATGAAATTATGACTTAGTGATATAAAATATAATTACCTCAAATTATAGAGAGAATTAGTAAATATAATAGGAATATCAGTGTAGAAAGTTTCTCCTAAAACTAACACCTTTTGTCAGGGCTTAACCCTTCTGGGCTCAAAGGACATAAAGCCCAACACTTCTATGTCCAGCCTTATTACAGAAGTGGCCCAATACAATTTAGTTCGCAGTAAAAGCGCTAGCCACTTTAAGCCATGTGATCGAAAAATAGATATTGCGTTTATTAAAGGGCACGTAACTCTGATAATATGTATATTCGATAATATATATATATATATATATATATATATATATATGGTAAATTTGGATTATGATAAATATAGAAATTGTAGGCCTAGTTCATTCGGTTTCGACATTTGAATAAGTTAGGAATTTGGTTAATTTCTCGTGTACAAAGAATTCGTCATTTGACAGTTGACACCACTTCACACAATACGTTAGAGAAAAATAAAAATATTGTAGGATGGTTGGTGCCCTTTGCAACATAACAAGTTTTAGGCACCTAATACTTATTAAATAGAAAACAAATTCCATTTATAAAATTACAAGTCTAAGACATATGCTACATCCACGGCCGTTGAGAGGAGTTTTTCTCTCCTTTTCCTCTCTTTTCCTTTTTATCTTTTTATATATAAGTCTCATAGCTCAATAGGTGAGAGAAGATGGGTTTTGATGCAACGATAAGAGTTACACTTCTCATTTTATATTAATCTGAGTCTCAAGTCATGAAATTATTTGTTTACATAAATATACAAGGTAAAATTGTCTAGCAATTAGGGTGGATGTGCGGGTTTATGAACTTAGTGACTAGCATTGTCTCAAATTCTATATATACTCCCGAGTGCTTACCATCAATATAGTCTAATTTCGATTTGGACCTCAAACATATATAACAAAAGCTTAGTGCACCGAATTATCCACTCACAATTTTTTTTTCTTATTTTAAGTTGAACAACCAAATTATGATCTAGACCTTATTAAATGGAATGGACAACTTTATACCTTCCAAGGAAAGCTACAAGAAAATAAAGTGAAAACCTTATTATTGGTGGTGTTTTAAAGTGTTAGATGCATTGGGAGATACTATGATTAATAGTGGCCCAAAGAAATAAATAGCAAATTAAATATTCAGCTCCCAAAATATACTACAATAATATCATTTTCAATAATGCCCTATTTATAGTCCCGCTTATTCCTTTGTGAAAGTAAGGTCATATTCTTAGCTCTCCCTCCATAGAACCTATATCATTTTCCTCATATTTCTCTTGTCATGTCTATCATAAAAGAAAGAGATATACAATTGAAATATATAAAAACAATACATGTTTTCAGTGTTTCAAGTTTTAAGTAAGGTGAAAATTCAGGTCATCAATCAACTGAATTATCAGAACTTTCGTCTTTATAAATGAACCCATACTAAAAATGCATGAAATCTCGATTCCAAATCATAATTTTATATATTAAGTAATATCAATAACAAAATTGTCATATGAACTAATTCATATTGTCTATATATATCCTAGAGATGATTTTGCATTCGTTACTAGAAATTGTAAGTTTTTTCAAACAATTGTACAAATTCGTTCATTCATAGAATATTCAATCACTATACATCGTGCATATATAATTATCCATTATTTTGTACACAATTAAGTTACCTAGAATCCAATTTTATAGCGTATTAATGAGTAAATTAATTATATATCCATTATTTTCCACTACGAGTACGAGTAAATTATTTGAAAAAAGACAATAGGTAATATTATTTTGATGGGTCAAAAAGTAAATTAAACATGTCACACTGTTTTACACAGTCGATTGTTATTATTATATAAAAAAAAACGATATGATTATAAAAAAAGAAAAAGAAAAAACGCCCTAGGGTTGGGGGAGTTTGGAGCTAGGGAGCGGACCACTGACCAAACTTGACATCCCTGCAAATACAAGCTTCTGCTGTGCTATGTGGACCTCCAAATTTGATACTCCTAACCTCCGACTCAAAATAAGTGTTATTTTAATTTATTTTACGTTTATTAAGAAAAATGATAGAAGTATCTTTTAAATACAATGGCATAATAATGGGAAGCAGATACTAGTTACTCCCTCCGTTTACTTCTACTTGCCTTAACTAATTTATCATATTATTTCTATTAATTGATGTTTAGTATTAAATTTTATAAAATAATTTAGAAAATAAGTAATTAATTGTAAAAGTAAAACATTATCTTTACTTAATATGTTAAAAATGACAAGTAAAAATAAAAAATTATTTATAAAATAATAAAAGCAAATAAGAAAATACTAAATTTTATCTTGGATAACACTTATTTTGAATGAGATATTTATTTGTTTCATTGTTTGGAAGTATTAAATGGGACCCCTTTAATTTGTGAAGGAAGGATTCTGATAGGACAAAAAAAAACATCCTTTTTGATCACTTAACCTTAGTGCTGGCTGGTGGCCTTGGATTTGGCTGCATTTCAGTTTTGTTCTCATCTCTGTATACTTATTAATTACCACAAGCCTATACCATACTACTAATAGAAAATATGTAATTAGCTACAAAATATATTGATAATCTCTGCTAAGCTAATTCATTGCAAAATGAAATTAGCTATCATAGAATTTTTATTATTTAGCTATAAACTTTTGTCTATTATTAATTCATCATTTTCTCTGATAGTAAAGAGTATCGTATTCGAAGTTGAAATTGTAATTTCTTAAAAAGGGTTTACCTATCAATATTGCAATTTCGTAGTGAATCAATTGACACTCACTTGAAATAGTTGTAATTTCTTCATCCTTTAATCAGTGATTTGATGAGTTTGAACTCGAAAAAATTAAGAACGTTTCGATAATAAGCATTTTATCCTTTTGTTAGGTTTATCCAGCGCAAATACAGATCCTAAACTCCAAATTAGTAGTATTTGTCACCCTATGCACTTTTCCATACGTAATTTTCTTGTATAACTTAGCTTTCATCATTGAAAAATAAGCATTTATTTATTTATTTGCAGCAATTTTTACAGAAGTGCTATCTTCTTAAAAGCATCTTCTCTTCTATTTGGATCGATTGTTGACAAAGATTGAAGTAATTTCCTTTTCTCTAATTGAAATTTAAGTGTGTAAAATGGAAGTAGACGAAAATAACATTTGATACTTCAAATAGGGAAATAAATTCTCAACATGGTGGCACAATCGTGTACTATATTTGAGCGTGATCGACCCTAGACTTGTCATTCAAAATTTATTTAGTATTTATTTTGTAAAGTAACCATAGTGAACTTTAATTAATTGATTGATCGTTCTTTACACGACTCCCATGACCCAAGTCATCTTAAGAAATTCAAAATGAACTTTGAAAGTTGAAATATTGTATTAGGCCACTGAAATAAGCAATAATTATGTAAGAGCCCTTGTTTAAGCAAAGCCCATCACAACAACAAATTGATAGTGACATGCCTAATCTATAATCATACATTTTATATTTTCTCTATTTAAATTTATGTGATGCTGTTTAATTCGACATAAAATTTAAGAAAAAAAAGAGAGATTTCTTAAATTGTTGATCTAAAATAAGTAGTAAATATTTGTGTTGATATAAATCATCTCATTAAGAATATAATAAATATTTAAAAATTAAATTATTACTAAACAAAAAAATGTATCATCCTTTTTAGAACGGACTAAAAAAAATTTGTCATATGAATTGAGTTAAAAGAAAGTAGTAAATTTATCATTACAGAATTGACTTTGAATTTGTTGTTTAGTTACATAATTTATTTGCTTTATTCCTATTTTTTTTAGTTATAATTTTGCTAAGGTAATTCAAACATTATCCAACTAAGGGAAGATCTCACTAAATCTCACCAAACAAGAAAAATCTAAAAGCTTAGGTAGTGATATTATAGCTACGGAATTCTTTTTAAGGCCTAAAGTTTACCGTTTTTGAAAGTTTTTCAAAATTTAATGGGGTTGTTTTGTAATTG